TAAACATTTTCGAATTTTTTTGGAATTTTTAATATTTTTAAAATATTTTTGAATTTTTAAAATTTTGAAAATTTTTATTAATAAAATAAAGATTCCGGACGGGGTCCCCTGACCCGATCCGCCCGACTGCCCAACCCGGGTTACCGACCCACCCGAGTTTTCAAATTTTGATTTTTTATTCTATTTTTTCTTCTCTTTTCTTTTTTCTCTCTTTTCCTTTTCTTTTCTCTTTTTTTTTTTCTTTTTCTTTTTCTACTTTTTTTTTTTCTTCATCCCCTCCTTCGTGCTTTTCCCAGAACTCCCCTCTTCTTCAATGGCCCTCTTCACCGAGAATGTCTTTACCGAGGCCCACGCCAGGGTTTCATCGGGGACACCGACCGCCGGCCATCAGCTCGGGCCACCAGTGCCGACCAAAGTGCCGACCAACGCTTCGGCAACCACACCGGCGGATAAAACCGGCCACAACTCCCCGCCAGCGAGCCAAAACTCCCTTTCCAATCAACCAACTTTAAGCCCCAAAGACAGAAACTAAGCCTAAATAAACAGGCATACACGCACAAACCAAGGCCTAGAATACCGAAACGGTGGGACTCCAACCCAAGGAAATACCGGAAGCAAATAGCAGCTCCGATTTGTACGCTCATCCATGGCCGATGTGGGCAAACGACGGAGTGTGTCATGAAAATCGAAGGAAAGCACAAAGTTAGTCACTATTCAGCATACATGGGCACTAATAGAGCATGAAAAACTGAGTTCTAAGCATCAGTGCAGTAAAAGGCGATTCTGGTCTCCATTTAGGCATTTCATCGAACATGTGAGGGGCGTTTGAAAAACGGGGTCACATATCCAATTTTGACGAAGTTTACAGTTGATTTTCGACATATAACATCTATACCATCCTCACTGGGTGTCAAACAAATGTTTGCCTCGGTCGACGGGGCCGGGTGACCACCGAATAGGCTCGGTGTGCCCGGTACCCGAGAGGCAGGGGAAGGGGAAGCAAAAATAGGGGAAGAAAAGGATGCAAAACCCACCTAGTTCGGGGCTGACCGAAGAGAGGCGAGACAACTAGGGGCTCGGTGGCGGCTCAGGCGACGTTCCAGCGAGTGGGTGAGAGTCGAATCTCTCCAATTCCCCTCAACTCTCAGTCGATCTCCTCTTTCTCCCCTCTAACTCTCTCTCTGTTCTTGGCTCGCCAACACCAAACGCGATGGCCGGGGCGATGGACGTCCGGTGACGGCTAACTGAGAGGGGGAAGAGATTTGCCGGCGACCCTCCTGAGGAGGAACCGGAGCGCTCTCCTCTTAGACCCCTCCCTTTCTCTCCTCTCAAAAACTCTCTCGGACGCTCTCTGTTCTCTCCCTTCTCTCTCTAATTCCTCCCCTGTTCACCGAGCTCTCTTCCTCCTTTTAACGTCGAGAGAGGAGAGGATAGCCTGGGACCACGGCTGTGACATTCTGAAATTCGACCCATTTCGGGATTTATGAAATGAATATTTCTTCGATACACTTTCAGTAAAATCTCACTCGGAAATTGATCACTCTCGAGATACTAACCGTTAGGGAAAGGCTAGCTAGGAATTAAGTACGTGGACCTAAAAACTTGATCATGGATTGGCACTTCGACCATAAGATTGACGAGGGAATATTTTATACCATTATAGACCGATCCAAGGATGGCTATGGAACGATTCGCAAATCTTATATGATCGGAACGCAAGTGATTCCGCTTAACCATTGTATGAGTTTCGAACGATCCTAAACCTAATCCGAAAGATCGTTTCCTTCGGAACTAGTGATTGACCCTCGCAATTACATGACAACCGAGATCGCCATGGCTCAAGTAAACTTAGATGTGGCTCGATGTCATCGGCCACGTGTCGATACGCATAACTCCTAAAAGCCGCCCGTTAGTTTAAGATACACTAAAGTCGCGATTGTTGGATTTTGGCCATTAATTAGAATATGAATTGGGATGTCGAATTTTCAAAATTTCCACGACTAATTTATCGGACGTCGTCTCATTTAGCGTGGCCAACTATCGGATCGATTGGAATTATCGGAAAAATCGAAATTTGGACCGGGAGTGGAAAAAGACCATTTTGCCCCTGGGTTAATTGAGCACTTTTGAAATATTGAAGGGCAATTCGGACAATTACATTTCCCTCCATAAGCGAAAATTTGGACAAGAATGCCCCCTCTCCTTTTTGCTTATTCCTTAGTTGCCCTTGGATATTTTCCCCATCTTGCCTTAAAAGACTCATTTGTGGCTTTTGGATCTTTGATGAGATTGATAGGTTGATCTTGGCCCTTGATTTATGTGAGTGGGGTAGGTAGATAATAATTGACCTTTGACCCTCTCTCTCTCTTCTCATTCCCGGAGCTCTCCCTCTCTCTCTCTCTCTCTCTCTCTCTCTCTCTCTCTCTCTCTCTCTCTCTCTCTCTCTCTCTCCTTGGAATCGGCCGAAGCTCCAAGTACCATCACCTCCACCTTGCTTCTCTGGTTCAGACGCCATCGGACTCGCCACCTGAATCACCGGCCAGCCACCCGTCCGGCCGACGGAGTGCGCACTATTCACAAAAGCCTGAACTAGCCCAGAAACCAACTGGAAAACACCCATTTTCCCCTCTTTCTCTCTCTCTTTAGGCCTCACTCCTGGTACCCCGACTACCACCATCTTGTGTTCGTTCCAACCATCCCAGCCTGGTCGCCGGAGATTCCCGTCCAGCCCTGTTCACCGCCGGAGCTCAGTTTGCCTGTTCACCGATTTTCTTGCTTAAACCCTTGGTAAGTGACTTCCTAATCCTTGGTTAGGCTAGTGGGTTACTAATGGCATGTCTAGGGATGAATTAGGGGCTGTGGATAGTTGGTTTAGTGGTTGTATAAGCTTGATTTGCTTAATGGTGCAAGTTTAATGATTCTCGGATTTCTAGTTGTTACTGTACCTCTGCGCTTTGTTATTTTTTTTTTTATCATTGTGGGCCGAATCTGAGGAAGTGTTCTTCATGGAATTTGTTTTCAACATCTTGAGGTATAACATACTTTAAATTCATAATTTTTGGAAGTCTTTTGGGGTCATTCGAAAGTCGGTTTTCGGACCATCTCAGGGATGCCGGAGTTACTGTTCACCCGACCTTCCTGTGTGTCCGAATTTTTATAAAATTTTCTAGACCTTATTTCAATAAACTTCCTTCACGAAAATTGTTTAAAACACTTGTTTCTATGACATATAAAAATTTCAGATCTTTACAAAGTGATTTGGTTACTAAATGAGTTGTATTTTGATGGTCTGAGGGGCTGTCCGAGCAAACCGGATTCTGTCCGGATTTGAGTGTCAAAACGAGGCATTTACAGTTAGAACTGGATTTTGTGTCCTTCATAAAAAAATGTTTATCAAGATGTTTTATACAACATATCCAAATTTCAGAATTTTTGGAGTTTATTTACTATTTATTTCAGACGGATTTCGGTCACTGCACAACTGCCCATTTGGCCCCGATTCTGTGCATACTCGGTTTTTCTCTCTCTCGGGGACTTTTCGGAGATTTTGTTACAAAAGAAAGGCGAGGCTTTTTAATTGATGATTACAGACTTAGTTGGCATTTGGTTAATTCTTAAAGATAAGAATCGGTAATGGTTGTTGAGTGTGTGCATGGTCACGACACATTCCGTCTAGGCGGGGGTTCTAGACGTTGCCAATCGCGGTGGAGGTCGGATCGATGCTCCTTTATGGAATGCCGTCTGGGCGGGGGTTCCGGACGTTGCCGTCACCGAAGTAGCGGGACGATGCCTGGTTACGCCAGAAGACTGGTGGGGGTTCGGTGGCCCGAGGGGCCGTTAATAATCTGGACAATTATAATCGTGTGTTATGCATTGGGGAATGCAATGTGCTTGTGTTGCTGTTGAGCATGTCTGGATTAATAACCGTTTTATGCACGTTTACGTCATGTGGTTGTATTATGTGCTCGTGGAGCGAATTGCCATGTTATGGCAGTATTCTAACGTGCAGGGCGTGTGCATGTGCCATGGCGAGGTAAGGATGCTTGTGATTGTCTATGGCACATTGTTTGTTAGAATTGCACATTTAGGATTGTCCGGAGGTACGTGTTAGCCTAAGCGAGGCTTAGGTAGTTGCTTATTGAGAAGTATTCTCATGGTTGTATAACCAAACCATTTCAGACCCACGACCATGACTGATCCGGAGATGCCACCGGAGTACCGTGATGATCTAAGGATGGGATTATTCTCCTCGTCTCTTTTTGGAGTACCCCTTTTGTAGAGGAGTTAAGCTTACCCACCACCCAATCCTTTTTGTTATGAGTGGTGTCTAGATGGTGGCCTCTAGTAAGGCTTGTAATTGCTTATTTGTGTTTAACGCTATGTTTATAAAATGTATTTGTTGATGTGTTTCGATTGTCTCTCTATTATCCCGTTGGATTACATGTTGTATGGAGAGTTCGTTTTGCTTCCGTTTACGCTATTCGTTAGCGTTTGGTTTGGGTCGGCGATAAATCCTGGGATGTCGCATACTTGACGACCTCGGAGGGATGTTGGCGCGCTCGCGGGGTTCGAGGCGTGACAACGGCTATGCCTCTGGCCTCTGCTCCCTCGGCATCGCGCGGCATCTGCACTGCGCATCGACGTTCCGTTCTGTTCTCTGCCCGCCGCTCTCCTCTGCTTCGTTGCAGAGGGAAAAGGAGAAAGAGACAGGAGGAGGGCTGGGCCAAGCCGAAGGTAAGCAAAGTTGGGCCGGCCCACGCGAAGAAGGGGAGAATGATCGGGCCGGGCTGATCTAGTCCGGTCGAACCGGGTCGGACTGGCCCGGAATTTTTTTTTTTTAACAAGAAAAACATGTCTAATGAATCCCATTAATGCAAATGCACCTAATGTCTATATGCTATGCAATTTAATGAAAATATTTGTGTTTATGTATTAAAATTAACCCCCTAATTTTATATGTAAATGACTTAGAATGAATAAGCAAAAATTAGGTGTCAACAGACATTGCCATTGACTTTAGAATCACTGCATGTGTCTTTTAATACCTACAAAGTAAGCCAATTGGCACCTTATGTAAGTCAATCGGTGGCATACGGCTGCAAGAAAAACTTGTGTTGAATGAAGTAACAGAAGAAAACCAACCAAAAAAGAAAAATATTACAAATGATACAAGAGAACATAACTCCTTGCCCAAAATTTAAAAATCTCGCTATGAAAGAGGAAGAGAAAAGAAAACTTACATTGATCAATCCTTTGCGAGCTTCTTGAAGCTCATCATTGCCGTTACATTTCTTTACTATGAGAGCTTGATTTGGTGCTTCTAGATTGTCAAGATTCCCCTCCTGTTCCCTCTGATCCGAAAGCATGCCTCACCAAATACTTGTACTCTACAAAGCATAAATAATCTCAACACCGAAATTCCATAAACGTGCAACATTCAGAAGGCTGCCACACATGATCTAGCGAAAGGAAAGAGGATGTCATCACCAAAAGTAGAGCCCGGCAGCACAAATATAGACAATTAAGTCACGTCTACTACTGGAATCCCTCGTCATATATTATATCCAAAAAAAATAAGGTTTCCGAAAATTTAAGTATTCTTGCAAAGTTGATAAGTTTTATCATACGGTCAATACGTAGCCTGTCATATCTTCCATCCATATGTCTATTTATACCGTTGATAAGTTTTATCATATGGTCAATACATAGCCTGTCATATCTTCCATCCATATGTCTACTTATACCATCAACACTGTCCATCTGGAGCTATATTCCTCAAGACTACTGCGTTCCATTTACGAAGCTAAATGAACATATCACAGAAGTGGAAAAATATTTTCCTGAATTGATATTGCTTTAATTTTAAATGCTAACTTGTCAAGTATGCATAATGCATCTCTTGGTATCTTCATCGGTCCCTCTAATTTCGGACAACAAGCCAATCCATTCAAGAAAGTCATGTATTATCTGTCATAAACCCCGATACTTAATGAAATATAATTTTGGTTTTCTCCAATTATATAATTCTCATTCCATTCTCCTAATCACGAATAAAATCATTCAATTTACTCATGTAATGCTTATGGATAGTCAAAATCAAAATAATAAATACACGATGCTGGCATGCGATTATGTTAATATGCTCTTAAGTCAATCAACAACAAGCACAAACCCGTCTGTCCTAGTTCAGACACCAGTGTCGGTCAACTGAAAAGAAAAATAATAACCTTGAAATCGAAAGCTGAAGAAACTGTCGCCTGAACTCGCTGCGAGTTGAAATAGAAGGACTTCCATGCACGTGTCGTTATCAGAAACCATGGTGGCTACCAAAAGATTCGATTTTGGCCATGTTAAGAACGTTCATCGAACGAAATCCCAGCCACGAACTCCGTTTCACACTGAAACGCGAGTTCAAAGGAAGAATCTTTTTCTGTCGATACGGTCGTCGGGAGACAGTGCATGATGCAACAACTTGCGATCAGTCAAAAAGCAGCTCTTACCTTTTTCCCACGAGTGACCATGGCAAAATGCAGTTTCAGGAGGACGAAGGTCGGTCGTGGCGAACGAAGCCGAAGTGATTGAATTTGAATTGATGGACGAGGGAGCTTTGAAGAAGAAGACCGTTCCTCTGTGAACGGAACGGATATCCCTTAAATCCGCCGGCCTCAATGTGCGACGCTAACCGATTCTGTTAGATCTACTTAAATTAAGGAGGATGAGAAGCTAAAGGGAGCAAAAATTGCCAGAGAAGCGGACAAGTATGCCATCCCCATGGAAAGCTTGACATCCATCTTCACTAATCCTTTTCATTTACTAGATTATATCTTTTATATTAATTGCAGCTAAAATAAAATATTTCGGGCTAATTATAAAAAAGCACTAATTTTACCTTGAGTGAAAATTCTGGCCCGAACTTTTTTTTTGTCTCGATAAAAAGCACAAACTTTTACTCGAGTCTCAAATCTGGCTCCTGTGACGTGAAATTTTCAAATTGTTCGAGTCAAATTTAGGATTTAAGTTAAAATTGATGATTTCTTGTGAGACAAAAAAAGAGTTCGAGTCAGAATTGTCATTCAAGATAAAGTTGGGGCTTTTTTTTTGGAATTAGGCCAAAATATTTCTTGCTACACTTCAATTTTTTTCTTATTGTTACAACTAAAATGATATCTAACGTGATTTTCACATAACAGGATACAAATTTAATTACTTAATTCAGTACAAAATAAGTCATCTACACATGGACAATTAACAGAAAAATCACTTCAATATGATCTAATTCTAATAACTCTAATTAAGGCCAAATTAAAAAAAAATGACAAACTTTATTAAGAAAAAAGATCAAGTAGAGTTTCTATTCACCCCTCAAATTTGTTAATTGTTATGTCTCGTCCGATTTAAAACTAATAGAAGTCCAAATCTAGAAAATATCAAATATACTTTAAGCTTTCCTGGTATCATTTTTCATGTTACTTAAGGCTATTTCTTGTAATAATTTTACACAACTTAAATGATCGATAAGTTTAGCATGAGCTATAGCTGTCCAAATTAATTCGAAAATAAAAATTTGTGATCATCTTGTGACTATCCACAAATGAAATAATGTATTTAAATTTTTTTAAGTATATTGGATTCGATTAACAAATGCCAGATTAGAGACTTGAATGGTGTTCAACTATGGCGGCCATGGATAGCGACAGGGGAAGACGAAGACCATATCGAACGAAAAAACAGAAAATTTTCGAGAACATATCGAACGACGGAAAACAGTTCAAAGTCCTTTTACTTTAACATAAAGATTCCAAAATGTTTTGCCAGAATCATTTCGTGTGATTGGCCTGGCAACGTGGAAGACGAAGACCTTCACATCATGAAGAAAAAGATGGCTTGTGCTTTCTCCATCATCGGTCGTTCATATAGACTTTCCTATGAAAGATCCGTCGGACAGTTTTTATCGTTTACTGTGGGAAGACCGAGACGAAGACCAATGCCTCCGAAACAACCCCACACAACTTCTTCTGCGCACTTTTAACTTACACCGTATTGTTAAAATATTTAAATAATAAATCACACATTATTGATCTGACAGTTTAAATTTTTAGAATGATTGGCAGTGATCCCATAAAATCTCACATGATATTAAAGCTGAAGGTTTCGAGGCTCCGATTGTCTCCTCAATTAAATATTTCTACCCTGAAAAAGCGGTCAAATTAGAAACCTTCCTGGAAAGAAATTTTTTTGACTCTCAAATTGAAGTTCAACGGCAGTGGAGGACATGATGCAAGGACTTAAAATTGGCCAAGGCAGTCACTCCCCGTAGATTTTTAAATTTACTCTTCAAACTTTTTTAAAATGGGTTCCATATGCCCTTTTCCATTAAGGGTTAATACCACAAAAAACCTAAACTGATACGTCTGTGATAAATTTACCCTAAACTAATATTTTGACCACTAAAAATCCCAAACTGATACACCTGTGACAAATTTACTCCTTGTTAGTTCTGTTAAATTTTAGTGTCAAATTGATTTGTTAAATAACACGTGGTAGTTGACGGATATTCCAATTTTGGGTTTTACCCTCCATTTGTCACAGTGTACCAATTTGTGATTTTTTTTTATTAATCCAATTTGACAGAAACTAACGGAGGGTAAATTTATCACAAATGTACTAGTTTGGAGATTTTGGTGGTCAAAAAATTAGTTTATGGTAAATTTGTCACTAATGTACCAGTTTGGAGTATTTGATAATCAGAAAATTAGTTTGGAGTAAATTGATCACGGATATACTAGTTTAGGGTTTTCATGGTATTTACACTTCCATTAATTGTGACTCCATAACACATGGCTCTTTTCGATGTGGATTGCTATGTAAGCTATGACTGGACCTTAACCATGCTCGGCACCTCATGTACTTCTATCTAAGTCAGCAATTTCTGGTTCTTTTCTTCTTTTTTAGGTCTTTTTTACTCTAGTTCATTTCTTCCTCAGCTGTTGCCGCCATCCATGACCACCATTGCAGCCATAGAGGAGTATCCAGATCATTTGGTAGACACGGGATTCGCGACCACTGCAGCATATGCAACTACATTCCATTCCAATAATCCATAAAACTTGGAAAAAAAATCAATTCATGTTCCACCATCAAATATAACAATAAGTCATTCATCTACATTGTTCACAATTAGATTTTTTGGGGGCTGGCTGGGTATATTAATTTTGGGGTGACTAGGTATATGACTTAAGTATATATATTTTTTATAGATGTACATTTTGACTCCTAATTTATTGAAAATGTTTAAAATTGACCCATGCATGTCGGGATGCTGGACTCGCATGTCGCTGGCGTGTCCAGAGCGCTAACCACGTGTCGAATGTCCGACACTTGTTGACCACATGTCGGTCGCATGTCAGAGGTTATCGGACGCCTGACCATGAGAGAGAAAGAGAGACAGGTCATATCCAAGTTGACAATTGCAGGGGCCACGGCAGCAAGTGGCGTTCAATTGAGGGAACGATCACGTCGGAACCTTCCGACCATGAAAAAAGAGATGCCTTGTGCTTTCTCCACCATTGGTTATTTTTAAACTTCTGTATGGGCTACCAGCCTACCACACCGCGTTGTTCTGCAACTTCTCGTGCACGCTACACCAAGAAGACCAAGACAAAGACCAGCGCCTTTTGCAACAAGCCCAAACCGCGTCGTTCTTCAACTTCTCCCACACGCTATTTAACTCGCACCAGCACCAGAAAAGAAGTCCAAAAAGAAACCTTCCTGAAAACAAGTTTTGTTTCTATTTCTCTCCCGAATCTGAAGTTCAACAGCAATGGAGGACGAAATGCACATAGTCAAATCGGCCAAGCCCGCTGCGTCTTGTTCAGACACTAGGTACCATCTCCTCTCTCTATCCCTCTCTCGTATTTCAAATTGAGATTCTGCTATGGATGCTGTTGAATTGAATGCTGACAGAGAAACGCGATCGGTTCCCATCAGCGTAGACTGTGCTGAGATCGTCGTGGTGCGACACGGGCAAACTGACTGGAATGTTGATTATAGAATTCAGGTACGGACAGTAGACAGACTGAAATCTTCAAGCCTTAAATTTGTATGAAGGGGGAAAAAAGCAAAAATTGCAGTCTAATAATTACCTGGGCCTTGGAGGAGACTCACAAGCTATTCATATGGGCTAGCCCGGCCATGCTATTAATATGCACGAAAATCAGGTAAAGTATCAAAAAAAGTCCCAAACCAATTGCATTGATACAAATTCAGTTCCAAATCTTTCAATTGAACTAATTTAATCCTAAACCTTTTCATATTGGTACCAATTAAGTCTATCCAGTCAATTTAGACTGGAAATCGCTGACGTGGATGCCAACCATCCTACATGCCGCCTATGTGACACGGCTGGCGTTGATATGAACATTTTTAATAGTATTTTAACAATGTTTTAAAAAAATTCCCTTTTTTTTTCCTCTCTTTTTTTTTCCTTCTCTTTCTTCTACAGCCGATTCGGCCACCGGCGGTGAGGGCTCGACCCTCACCAACTCTGGCGAGGGCCATGACGCCCTCACTAGCTTTGGCGAGGGCCGCCCTCACTAAGTCAGGCTTGGGCTCGACCCTCGAGGCCGCCAGGCTAGATCTAGCGAGGGCTTGATCCTCGTGGCTTGGGCAAGGGCGACCCTCGCCAGCCCTCATGGCCGATGGCCGAACCGGCCATAGGCCAAAGAAGAAAGAGAAGGAAAAAAAAAGAAGAAAATTTTTAAAAGGAAAAAACAAAGAAAAAGGGATTTTTTTTTTTAAATTATTAAAAATGTCTACGTCAACACCGGCTATGCCACGTCAACACCGATCATGCCACGTAGGACAGTAGGCATCGCCTGCAGGCCAAAGAAGAAAGAGAAGGAAAAAAAACGAAGAAAATTTTGAAAAGGAAAAAACAAAGAAAAAAGGAATTTTTTTAAAAAATTATTAAAAATTCAAAATATTATTAAAAATGTCCATGTTAACGCGGCCGTGCCACGTAGGACAGTCGGTGTCTATGTTAGCGATTTCCAATCTAAATTGGCCGGATGGATTGGATTTGTTTCAATGTGAAAAGGTTTATAATTAAATTGGTCTAACTGAAAATTTTATGACTGAATTGGTACTAATGCAATAGGTTAAGGACTTTTTTGATACTTTACCCCCACGAAAATCTACGGTGCTCAAGACGGCCGATTTGTAAGTTCAACCCATTGGAACAACTCGGGTGTTGACTAATCCTAGGAGCGCGTTGGACTATTTCTTCAGTTTGATATCATATATTTAATTCACTTCGAGAGTTCAAGTTGAGCCCGCTTTATCTTCTACCTTGCCCTGTTCTGATTTGAACTTGTTTATGTCTCTCTGCTTACCATGGCATTCTACAATTATAATTTCGTTGAACATGGCAAATACTTGTTTGGACTCGATCCTTATGAATCGAGATAATCACCACCCTTAATCTTGCGGGTTACACATGGATCCACAAGA